GGAAAATTACCATGTCCCGTAAGCAACTGGGTGGCCTTCCGCGACAGATTCAGTGATTCACTCCCGACTGTCCTACAGAATCTGTAGAACAGCCGCCCAGTCTCTCCCGTGTCCCATTCCCTCTGCCAATCTATCCTGATTCGTTCTTTGATCCTCTTCCTCTCTTCACTCTTACTCCCCATTCTCACTACTTCCCATGAAATCTCCGTTTTTGTCATTCCCCTTGTTGCATCCTCGTGAGCTTTCTTATTACCGAGATTGTTATTCTCATGGCCGCGCTTCCAGATTAACCAGGTTCGCGCTCCTCTCACTTTTATCTCCTCTATCATCCTCTGTATACGCGCTACCCTCTTATTTCTCGTTCTTCCTGCTTTCAGACGTTCCACAGCCATGGCATAGCCATGGCAGAATGCTTACCACAGTTACACTCTCATTCTTGTCCCACATACCTATCACTCTTTCGATCGCAACCAATTCTGCCTCATTCACACTGCTCTGTCCGGGGATTCTTTTATTTCCTTGTACCCATTCATTTTCCTCCCGATCGTCTGCCCAGCCTATGCCCATTCGTTCTTCTTCCAGTTTTGCTCCTGCATCCACGTACACCCTCATCACACTCTCGTCCTCCCTTTCCTCCAGCAATATTCCTTGCATCCATGGGAGTATTCTATCCTCTCCTTTCACTCTGTCTTCTCTCTTTCTTCTCCCATTCACCCTCCAATCATGGTATCTGGCGCTCGTTTCCACATGAAGCGGTGCCATACCTGAGATAACACAGAGCGCAGCCGTTGGCGCAGCCTGTATGCTTCACATGAAGCGATTAGGAAGGGCCTCTGCGCCGCGCTCAGTTGTCTCCTGATACGACTGTCGTGCGTCCTACCCCCCACACCTGTACTCCGTACATGATCGCAGGTTTTGCCACTCTCTCATATATTATTCTCACACATTCTCTCCTCAGTCCAACGTCTCTCCCGGTCCATCTTCTTAGCTTACCCGCTAGCGTATTCAGTTTTTTCCTTGTTCCCTTGTGGTGGTCTATGAATAGTAATCCAGTATCCACCACAATTCCCAAGTACTTCACATTCATACTCTGCTCAATCACTCTCCCGTTTATACTTATGACCTGGAGTCTCTCATCCCTCCTGGCTGGTATGTACATGCATTCTGTTTTCGAGTCATTATATTCCAGCCACATCTCGTCTTCCCATTCTTTACATTCTTTCCATACCAGCTCCCACCTCCGTTCTATGTCCTTGACAAGGTTTCCCTCGATGATGACTAGTTGGTCATCCGCGTAGGCCTGCGTATATACTCCGTATGCTCCGATGCCTTCTCTCGCTTTCATGTCTCTGATTCGCTCGAACCATGCTTCCATCACTACCAACCATAGTGTAGGTCCCAGGCTAAACCCCTATGGGCAGCCTCTGTCCACCATCTCAGAGACCAGCCCACAGGTAGCCGTTCTCCTACCTATGAAACTCAAACACGTCATCCCCACATTACCCGGCATCCCCATTCGCTTCATGCACCTCTCTATCACTGGTGCCCACGCGGTATTAAAGGCGTTTGACAGGTCCAACGCCAAAACCAAACTATGTCTCCTTGCTTTCTTATTTTCTTTCACTCTATTCACCATTTTTTCTACCGCCATACTAGTATCCATTCCCGCCCTGAAACCATACTGGTTCGGGGAGAACTTCAACTCTCTCTCACACCAAATTTGCACTCTACCATTTAGAAGCCTGTCTAACGTACGTCCCATTCCAGTCAGCAAGCTGATAGGTCTGGGGTTTCCGTCCTTCTTAGGTATCCACACAACCGTTGCTCTTTTCCATACCTCCGGGAAGTACCCTCTATTCGGGCAGGCGTTGAATATTTTAATCATGCAGTCTCCCTTCCATTCGGTCACCTTACGGATGACTTCGTTAGAGACCCCATCTATTCCTGTCGCAACTCAGTACACCTTGAACTTCACTCTTTGGGAACACTTTTATCTGGAGAACTACGTTTATGTGAAATAAACGTCCTGAGAACGTTTTCCTGAATGTATTTAATCTCCAGCGATTCAAAACAAATGTGAATCGCTACTTTCGTACAGGCACCGCTCTGAGAGCACCTTAAGGATTTTCCTATAGTGCTTGTGTTTTGTCCTTGAAGAAAATAAAAAATCCTGAGTTTTCAATAACTATATCATTTGACAAAAACTTAACTTGACTAATTGACACAAACATTGTTTCGTCGAAACAAACTTCAGATGTCTATCAGTGAGGATGACGATGTTCCACGTAAGTGAAATTTCACTTCTTTCATTGACTATAATGTGGAACATTCGAATGATATCTGATTCACCCTAACGAATGTTTGGAATACAAACTACATTGAGAAAAGTATTTTTGTATAATGCAGTGTATTTGTTTGGAAAGTATTTTTCTTTCGTGTAATTCAATGTTTATATGAAAGTAGCTGTTTGGAGACGGGTTTTTCTTTCAGTGCGTATCAGTTCTTTGCATGATCAACACATTTTTGTATAGATTCAACCTTGACCTTGCATTACAAAGAGTATGGCTGAGCTCTGGGAGTTCTCCGCCCTATATCTCAAAAACAGTTGGGACTATGAAAACATTTCCAAACGAAATTTATCACAAATTTTATGCTTTACAATTTTTATAAGGAAATTTAACATAATTGGAGCTATAGAAATCGAGGTAATCGCGAAAAACTGATTTTTGTGACTTTTGACCTTGAATAAATTCCGGCGCAGACATGAGATTTCATGTGACTTTTGAGACAACTTCTAGAACACCAAAATGAAAGTGTATACGAGTTTATAGCATATTGTCACCCATTTCGAGGTCGACCTCTTATTTTTGTTTAGATGACGGGACTATCAATAAAAATGAAATAAGAAAAATCTGCACTCTTTTGGGAATTTTTTTCATTTCAGTGTGGTTAATTCTTGAGAAATGAAAGTATCAGCGTTGTTAACACTGGTCTACAGTGGTTTTGTTGCCCTATAGATATAAGATTGATTTTGGGTGTATTTATATTCACAATTCATGAAATTATCAATGGTTTCGTAAGATTTGCTTTCGTTTTCTTTTAAATATTTATTTTCATTTCACATTACAAAAATTCGAAAACAAGAAACAAAATAACAGATATATTTATAATCTCAGTTTTATTTGGAAAAAATATGATACTTTGAAGTAAATAGAGAGGGACATTTCGAAAACATGTTATATTTCCATGAAACGTCTTTTGAGAGCTTTTCTTTTATAATTTTTCAGAGGACAATCTCTTTTTAAAGACCAGCAGTAATCGGTCATCATGTGACAATCCCATCGACCCTGATATCTTTCTTTTACTACTTTTAGATCCTGGTGGAACCGCTCTCCCTGCTCCTCACTATAATTTTCTAAATTATCTGGAAATTTATCCAAATGGTTGCGAAGATAATGTAACTTGATACTCCTATTTGCTCCTAGAATCTGAAAGTTTGTCAGCATATTTTGTATAATTTCTTCATAATTTGGTGCTTAATGGTTACCTAGGAAATTTTCGACTACCAACACAAAACTTTCCCAAGCTTTACTTTCCGGAACAGTCATAACTTTGATAAAATCAGTGTCTTTCATCAATTGCCGTATTTGAGGACCATCAAATTATCCACCTTTCAACTTTTCCATACTAAGTTTTGGAAATTGTCTACAAATATATTTAAAACAATATCCTTCCTTGTTCAAAGCTTTTACGAATTGCTTTATCATTCCTAACTTAATATGCAATGGTGGAAGTATAATTCTGTCTCTGCTCACCAACGGCTTTCTTATTACATTAGCTTTACCGACAGTTAAAGAATTTTTTTCAGGCCAAACATCTTGTTCCCAATGACGTTGCTTTGCTCTACTGTCCCACATACAAATGAAGCAAGGGTATTTCGTGTATCCACTTTGTTGACCAAGTAAAAAATTAACCATTTTTAAATCCACACAGATCGGCCATTGATGCTCCGAGTAATTTATTTTTTCTAAAACTAATATGACATTTTCATATTCTTCTTCGAGTTTTGTAGAATGGGCAATTGGAATTGATGTAAATTTATTTCCATTATGCAGTAAGACGCATTTTAAACTTCTTTTACAGCTATCAATAAAAAGACGCCACTCGTAGGTTTGTATTATTTCAAAACCATGTCCAGAAGCAGCTTCGCAATATTATTACAGTATACCAATCCTTCATTTTCATCAAAAAATTGTAATAGCTCACTTTCCGTGTTAGTACTTCAATATTATCAAATAAGTGAGTTCTCAGCTGTTTTGCAGAGCAAGGAGCCCGAGAAGTAGGGATCACGTGATGTTTGTACGCGCAAAGAAGTTGCGCAGAAGCCTCATTTTTCTCATGACTGAGAAAATAAATTTTTTTTACTAACAAGCCGATTATTATTAAAAATACAAGATACGTAAAAATCATAAAAAATAGAGCACATTCAGTACTTTCATAAATATATTCGTGATTTAGGCACTCAAAAACATAAAAATTTGCAAAAATATCCAGGGCAACACAAAATTTTTTTTTTGTAGAGCTGTGTAATCGATAACGATCTTAGCTCACCAAATGAACCTTTCGTCTTCTTTTCGAAAACTGTGATCTACCTATGTATATATTTTTATTTTTTTAATTTTTATTATACAAAGTGTGAGAGGAATATGTCAGTAGACTCGGTTATAGTCGAGAGTCTGACGGTATGTCGATATTGTTTCTATACGTTGTACCTAAAATTATTTTTGATTTGGAATAAAATATTAATTTGTATTTCGATCTTTATCTGAACATTCATTAAAAAAAAGATATGTGGATACCCAAATCCTACCCACATTTGTCGCTCAGTTGAAATGTAGATAAGTTTATAATTTATATGGATTAGAAAATGAATTTGTAATGAAGTTGTTAGATTTTTATTATTCCGTATTTTATAATCATTCCTATTTTTCTGTTTTCAGTGAGAAGAGAGCCCGTATCCCTGCTTTTTCTATAAGGGTAAATTATCTTAATCCTTTCTTCGAACAGTGCTAAACTAGGACAATGGGAATGCTTTGAATAATCCTTTGTACATTTGAATTCGAGGGCTATGAAAATATACTTAAGACTATATCCCCAAGAAAGTAATAATTTCTTAAAGACAGTCTAAAATTTGAACAATTTCCGGAATATATTAAAATTTGTATTATAGTGATATCGTCGTATTATTTGTAACGCTGAGGTGAGAAGAAACAGAGAACTATTGAAATACCGACGAGTAGAAGATACGACCGTAGTTGTAATAGTGTGAACGAAGTGAAAACAGTGTAGATACAAAGCACCTACCTTATGAAAATAGTATCACTTAAAATCATATTCAAATATGACTCATATGAAATATCCAGGGCGACGGAAAATTAATGAATTTATTTCAAGATTTTCATGGGGTGTGAAAATATTTACATAAAAATAGTCATAACTGACAGTTGAAATTTCGACATGCATAATTTCTGAGAATGCATATAATATAAATAGTCAGATTCAAAAAATCAAACTGAGAAGATAGACGTTGAACAGGGAAATATTTTATACCTGAATTAAAGCGTTATCCATAGATTCATTTCAGAGCCTTACAGCCCACACTACAGTGTGAGTCTATGTCTTGTATGCATTTCTATAATCTAGATGAACTTCTTTGTAGGAATATGCCGTGATCATCTGACCTTGGTACAAAAAACCTCGGCACTGAAAAAAAATATCCTCTTAAACTTGCGGCATTGCGATTCAGCTTTGCTTCTTCATCGATATCTTTTTCACATTTGCCGATATTAGAAATTTGTTTAGGATTCGTTAACCACAGCAACGGTACAGGAAGCAGCGTAAACTGGCACAGCTCTCTTCTGCAACACAAGAACCGAATGTTCAAATCGTAGTGCAAATTCAAAAATTCACTGCCAATTAAAATGTCTAAGCACCTGACCAAACTTTAATTAAATTTTTTCATATCCGAACACCCCAAAAGCTTTCGGCCATTTGTAGAAGCCTCCAAGTTCACAACATCTCCACCAAACATCTCATGTAATGACTTATTTCGAGTTTCATTAAAAATCTATGCTCTGAACCAGTGTTTCCCAACCTTTTATAGGCCATGCCTCACTTTAATATTACTACATTTTTTATGCCCCTCATACATATTTTTTAACCTTTAAAAATTGTTTTGTTCCCTAAAGTTCCAGGAAGAAATCACTATGAAATTGTTATCCAAACATGGTAAGTAAAATTTCAAAACATATAATGAAAATATGAAATTCAAAATAATTTTAATATTGACTTTTTTATATTCATTTTCTTACACATTTGGTTGCATTTGGGTATTTAGTTTCAGTTTCTTCGCAAAGCCATGTCATAGCTCCTTTTATATTAAATGAAGTTTTTACTGATTCATCATTTTGCAATTCTGCAAGTTCTTTTCGATACTGCATATTTGATATATCAGTCATCCACTAATATTGGCTACATCATCCATGTTGGGAAATCAATTTGTTTTGAATCAGAAAATTTTTCTTTCAAATCAGCAGATAGAAATAACAAGTAAAGCGGTATCAGTTGCTTCACATTTTTGGATCCAATGAAACTGTTCAAAGTTTTTGTTGTTAATATGTTTCTGATATAACTCTATATTAAATCATCTAAAGGAACAATTCGTTCAGGCCAGTCTCAACACCCTACACAGTAGGTTAATGGACTGACACCTATCAGAAAACAACTACTCCCCTGGCTGATACCACGAAGGGCGTTGGATTATATCCGACAGGTGTCAGTGCAGGATTCTTCACAGAAGTTATTCCTGCATATGCTGTTGGCAATACAACTGCCGCAATAGATTTTCAATTATTGGAACACACTTGCAGACCGGTTTCGGGCTGTTTGGCCACTCGTCAGTGCAAGGTAGTGTATATCATCAACATAAAGTCGATGATTTCCAATAATTGAAAATCGAATTCCGTCAGAGTATCATTCCTCGAACTAAGCTGAAGACTACAACAAACAACAGGTTTGTCGTCGCTCCATCTACCTACCTACTGTGTAGGGTGTTGAGACTGGCCTGAACGAATTGTTCCTTTAGATGATTTGATTTATAGCCAGTCTTCAAGTATGCCCACTGACTATACGTGAAAAATAACTCTATATTGGTAATAAAACCAAATATCTTTGCTTTCGCATCGACAAGTGTTTTATTTTGTCCTTGAAGTTGCTTATTTGATATAAGTATTCAGTTTTTCGAAGATATCGGCTAAATAACTCACAAATGCTTTACTATCGATTGTTAACAGATACTTCATTTCAGGTTTGTTGCTTAAAAATCACTAAGAGTATCAAACAGTTGCATAAATCTTTTCAGTCAATATCCTTTGGATAGCCATCTTACTTCAGTATGAAGTCTCATTACATTACTGCATGTAGTATTTCATTTAAAACAGGCAAGATATTTTTTGCTACCAAGTTTTCCTTATGAATAACACATTTCATAATAGGTAATCATTTCTGGATTCGCATCTCTCATTGCCCATCATATTAGGATCGCTATCTGCAGCACAAGACGTTATATTTTTTGTTGGTATATCATTGACATCTGAGTAGTTTTATAACCTATTATATTCATCTTTAGAGGTAGTGGTGCTTTCTAATCTTTCACAGAACAACATTTCTTCAGCAAATGCTCGTCATCAATATATCTCACATAGGGTATTAATACTGCCTCACTGTCTCTCAAAATTGATTCATCCATTTGTACTCAGCTTTTCAACAAGTTGTTTCTCAATATCTCCACTCATTTCGTCTATTCTTCTGCTAACACTATTGCTACTGAGTGGAACATCTTTTACATCTTCATCATCTTCTTCCAGAACTGTCTTAAGAAATGCTCCTATAGTGTGATTTTTTACAGTTTTAGCGATTAATGAAGAAATTTGATAACTAGCCTCAGAAAGACGATTATTCATTAAAAAAACGAGCAGTAATGTTGTTCTTTTCTCAAACTTTTCCTTTGGAATTTTAAAGTAACTCCAATCTGAATTTATATGAGCACTCTGTTTCGCCTACAAATGCGCCTCAAGATGACCTCGTTTCATTGATTCGTTGGTCAAGCATTGCTGGCATAAAAGACAACACAGCATCCGCTCACCGTGAACAGCGAGTATGAATCCAAATTTTAAGTATTTCTCCGAATATTGACGAGTTTTCCCTTTGTTTGTTCCACTCATTTTATCTTATAAAGGCGTTGTTTAGTAAGTTCTGAAACGCCCGGGGTTCCCCGCGATAGGCAGCACCTTCCGCGGTGAATCCCCGACGAAAAGTTCACTTGACGACTCGAAATACCCAGTTGATATTTTGATAACGTCAAACAAAAATAAACCTAATAATTATTTACAGCATTTTTTTTTAAGAAGTTGCCTTTTTTGTTGAATTTGTCACCGATATCTAGCATTGCATTTAAGTAACCCAAAGCGAAAGGGTTAAAGTCGTGTCGAGTCCATTTTTAAATTGCCCCCCTTAACTATCAATTGCCCCCCTGTGGGGCGTGGGCCCCATGTTGGGAAACACTGCGCTAAACAAATGGCAAGCGAATCATCATCTACTCACAAAACCGAACGACCTGAAAATGATCGTTAATCAGTGTTGGGGTTCGTGAAGTGCAAAATTAACTAAAATTTTCCGATTTGATTCATTACTCGATTTTATATTTAATGTTGTAAGCTTCCGAATATGAACTCAGCATGCGAGCACGAATCAAAAATGTAAGGTCAAAGCTAAAATACATTGTTTTATTTTACTTGCTCCGAATTTGCACGAAAGTCTTCAAAACTTTTCAAGTTTGAACAATTACAAATCCCTTTATAGTTTGAAAAGATTAACATATTCGAAACTATAATACTGTGTTGTACTAATGGGGGGCTTTCAAAATCATTGGTATGGGACAAGTTCAGGAAATGGGTCAATAAAAAAATCAATACTGGGAGAAATATATTGAGAAGCAATCAGGAAAATTTTCATAAAGAAAACATAATAAAGAAATAATAAGGCAGAGATTTCAACAGCAGATCCAGTTCACTTATCTCTCATGCAAAGGAGTAGAAGGAGGCAAGCAATGCATGTACAATGTAAATTATGTCCATGAGAATATGATAACATCTAACAAACCTCCTGACCATCTAATTTGGTTAGCAAAATGACGTTTTCTTATATATGATGGTAACTATAGAATATTCACAATTAATTTTACCTAAAATGTGTTTCGCTACACGGTAGCTTCATCAGTGACTGGTACATCACAATATTTCACAATATCTTTCATATAACAGTGTTTGATGACGATACTTATCAGATAAATGATACAGAACTAAGTACTTCTAGGAAAACAGGTAGAAATATTGGCATTTCATGCCAAGCCTAAATAGATATATTTATATTGAGTGTGACAAGACAGTCAGATTCAGAAAACATAATCAATACAATATGATTTTCAGGAAAACAGTTAATATGTAACAATCATATTGAAGAAGAAAGTAATACTAATCATGAAATTATGAAACAACAACAATTAATTGGCGCTCCGGGGCGACTTGATTGATTGCAGTGGCGTATTTGGATTTTCAGCTGCAGGAAAACCCAGAAAAATCTGCAGCACCACATCATCTGAAGATCTTGATCTGCCAATGTCCCCTCTTTCATAAAACAAAATGTAGGGTGTCTACAGAGGCTCCAATAAATTCGAAACATCGCCAGAACTACCTCAAACATAAAACAGCACACATCATCAAAAACAGTCTTTCCTTTCCACAAAAACATAATTCAGAACAGAAAATACTAGAATCTATGGAACAGAAAATCGCTAGTAGAAAGATTCCATCTACAAAAGTAAACAAAAGTAAGGAAGTAATTGCCATTTCCAATGACATCTACAAAAACAAAACACTCGACTTCACACACACCAGTTCAAAAAGCCCACCAAAAAAATTTTAGATCATAATAAAAACTCCATCCATCAATCAACTTCTCTCATAAGACCTAGATACAGATACCAATAGATACCGATATATCATGTCCAATCCACAACTAATAATAATAATAATAATAATATCATCTTTATTATCTTCTAATACATTTAAAGCAAATTAATCAGGAACAGTTCATTTATTATATGAAGATAAAAGG